ACCTGTGGAACGTGCTTCCAAGTGAGTTACAATCAACTCCATCCCTCCTGGCTTTCAGGAAGAAAGTAAAATTGTGGCTATGGGGCCAGGCTTTCGGTCAACAGACATAAATCAGCACTCTAGTGGAAATGGGTTGGAAAGGCGATTTACATTAAGATACGATTCTATTTGGTAACAAATGTTTTTACTGTACATGCTCAAGTATAAGCCTAGTTTTTCAGACCTTTTTTTTAGGGTGAAAAAGTCCCCCTCAGCTTATACTCGAGTCAAGGTTATTTATTATTTTACTCTGTTATAAATACATAATAAATGCATTATTATTATATTTATTATTTTATGTTGTTATTATTGCATTTATTATTTTACTCTATTTATTATTATTGTTCATATTACATTTCCATTATATTGCTCTATTATTATTATTACCTTTATTATTTTAATTATTTATTTTTATTGGAAGGATACACAAGCACATTTACATTGAAGAAGGTCAGTGATTTAATCAGAGTTGGGCAGTCTTATCATAAATATTCAAAAACATTTACCCTCTTGATGCCTCAATTAATGTAATTTTATTTGTATCTATTTTTATTTTGAAATTTGCCAATAGCTGCTGCATTTCCCACCCTTGGCTTATACTCGAGTCAATCAATTTTCCCAGTTTTTTGTGGTAAAATTAGGTGCCTCAGCTTATATTCGAGTCGGCTTATACTCGAGTATATACAGAATATTGTTTAAGTAATTGCTTTTGTATTTATGTATTTTAATGTTTTAATAGTTTGTTTTAATGGTTGTTTGTATGAATTGTAACGGCATCAAATGGCTGCCATGTAAGCCGTCCTGAGTCCCCCTTCGGGGGTAGAGAAGAGACGGGATATAAATACCAGAAATAATAAATAAATAATAAAATAAAAACATGGAGAAAGTTTATGAAACTGCAAAAACCTCTGACCTTGTGGGAGGGAGATCCTGCAGCAGCACGTTTTGCTATAGTTTTTCAATGAAAATCTCATTGAGTCTCAACCAATTTAGCATTGATTGTGGCAGCCACAAAACAAAGTTTCTGGAGTATAACAATTACTTTTAAAGTAAGGACCACACGATGAAACAGGAAATAACACTTTCAAACCAGGAACAGAACATTTTTCAAATTTTTTGACATTGTGTTACTTTTAATGTCCTTCCAGCCTCTTTCAAATTTTGCTTGAGAAAAATTCAGGGGAGGAAAAGGGGACTCTTTTGCTGGGTGACTGCAAGCACAGTTTTCCCATCTGCCATGGCATATTCACCCAAATGAGGACCACACTGGGATTTCCTTTATTGCAATGGCTCTAACTCAGTCTTGTTGACACTCCTTGGCAGCCACTCTCTGGAGTGTGTATCCATTCTTTGTCAGCCATAAGTGGAAATCATCTTGCCTGCAAGATGGAATTGGGCTACAACTCTCATCAGGTCTCAGCCATTTGCAGCCAGTAGTGAGGAGTGCTGGGAGTCTCGCTCAACTATTGGCCACTTTATTTATACCCACCTTTCCAAGAATGAGATGCAGATCATTCGTTTTTTAGTAGTCTGCATGTTTCCCATCCCAGCAAAAAAGAGAGATGGTTTTCTAATATGAAGCCACTGAAGAAGTGCTGCAGGAATTGTTCCTGGGGCCAGTTCAGTTCAAAATCTTTATTAATGACTTGGATAAAGGTTTACAGGGCATATTTATCAAGTTTGCAGAATCTAGGAGTGATCCTAGATTCACTGTTGAGCCTAGAACTCCAGGTCTCAGCGGTGGCTAGAGGAGCTTTTGCACAATGAAGACTTTGTGCACCAGTTGTGCCAATATGTTAGGAAGTCGGACTTGGCCACAGTAGTCCATACTCTTGTTACATCCCGAATAGACTACTGCAACACGCTCTATGTGGGGTTGCCTTTGAAGACTGTTCAGAAGTCTTAAGTAGTCCAACGGGCAGCAGCCAGATTGCTTACCAGAGCGGGGTACAGGGAGCACATAACTCCCCTGTTACATCAGCTCCACTGGCTGCCAATCAGCTACCGAGCACAATTCAAAGTGCTGGCTTTAGCTTATAAAGCCTTAAATGGTTCCAGCCCAGCTTACCTGTCCTAACGTATCTCCCTTTATAATCCACCTTGGAGGTTAAGATCGTCGGGAGAGGCCCTGCTCATGGTCTTACCACACTCGCAAGCGCGAGACTGGTGGGGACGAGACAGGGCCTTCTCTGTGGTGGCCCCTCGTCTGTGGAACTCTGAGAGTGATTTCATGTGACTGACAAATAGATAAACCTTGGGCTGTGATTTGAATCTGCATGATTTTAATTGATGTTTTAATAATTGATGTTTTAATTACTTGGATTTAATTGCAACTGTTACTTGTAATTGTATGCTGTCGGCATTGAATTTCTGCCTGTTGTGAGGCCGCTCCGAGTCCCCCTCTGGGTTGAGAAGGGTGGGGTACAAACGTGGGAAATAAATAAATAAACAAAGACCCCAAATTAGGAAGGATAGCTAATACTCCAGAGGACAGGATCAAAATTCAAAATGACCTCAACAGATTAGAGAGCTGAGCCAAAACTGACAAAATGAATTTCAGCAAGGACACTTGGGCAGAAAAAAAAATAAAACGCAAAGATACAGAATGGGTGATGTCAGGCTCAACAACCGTCTATGTGACAAAGATCTTAAGAGTCTTCATGGACAACAATTTGAACATGAGCCAACATTGTGATGCAGCAGTTTTAAAAGCCAATGGGATTTTAGGCTGCATCAAAAGGGGTATAGTGTCCAGATCAAGGGAAGTCATGGTGATGCTCTATTCTGCTTTGGTTAGACTTCACCTGGAATAACACTGTGTCCAATTCTGGACATCACAGGTTAAAAGAGATGTTGGCAAACTGGAAGGTGTCCAGAGGAGGGCAACAAAAATGATCAAAGGTCTGGAAACCATACCCTATGAGGAACGTTTTAAAGAGCTGGGTCTGTTTAGCCTACAGAAGAGAAAGTTGAGAGGAGATATGATAGCCATGTATAAATATGTGAAAGGATGCCATAAGGAAGAGGGAGCAGGCTTGTTTTCTGCTGCCCTGCCAATTTTTCAATATATATAAGAAAGGAGATTCCACCTGAACATTAGGAAGAACTTCCTGACTGTGAGAGCTGTTCAGCAGTGAAACTCTCTGCCTCAGAGTCCAGAGGAGGCTCCTTCTTTGGAGGCTTTAAAACATGGATGGCCTTCTGTTGGGAGAGCTTTGATTGTGCTTTTCTTGCATGGCAGGGGGTTGGACTTGATGGCCCATGTGGTCTCTCACAACACTATGATTCTAAGGTGCCTCTTTGGCCTGATGACTCTTCTGCCCTTTCTCTTTCCAGGCCGACTTCCTGATTTCCGAGGAACTTGTGGCCCAGTGGAAAGGGAAGGCCTTCATGACCAAGCTGGGGAAACTCACCTGCAAAACCCTGAAAGGTGGCACCATCCGCTAGGTCTCCTCGTTTGGGGTTCCTCTCCTCCACGCTGCATCTTGCCCAATGAACATCCCTTACGTGCCATCATTGCCATCGAAAAAATGCCAGGAGAGGACTTGGCTTCAAGGCTCCGGAGGGGGGCAAAAGGGGCATTCCAAAGCAGAGGAGGCCATTGCTCAAAGACCTAGCTCTGAAATCAAGGCAAGTTTATATCAGGGAGGAACGAGCCCATTGCTGCAAGTGGGACCCTGCAAATACTTCAAAGGCGCAAGGTGGAGACTGTGCCTACACCAGTATGTTTTCAGGCCCAAGTAGGAAGTCCTCCAAAAGTAGCTGAACTGCACCTCCCATTGTCCCTTACCACTGACTGTCATCTAGGCTTTATGGAAGGTGCAATCCCAGTCTTCCTCCCCTCCGGTCTGTTTGCAGCCTTGTGTCCATGTTAGAAGTCGCCGTCCTTCTAAAAACTTCCACTAAGTCCAGATCCAGGCTAGCAAAGCATGCAGGAGGGGATCTCGCATCACATTAGCTAAGGTTATATTTCTGTCTGTCATGAACACTAGATTCTAAATCCAGTGTCTTCCATCCCCAAATAAAACGGTCACAACATGGCTTTTGGGTCTTTTTCAACAATGATTTCTGCTGTTCTATTCGGGTACCTTTTCTACAGTTTTTTTGGGCAAATAATAAAGTTCCCTCTAGGTGTGTTTTTAAAAATACCTTTGAAATGTCATGTTTTTGAACTTGTAAAAGAGCCATGTTACTCGGTTGAAACAGACAAGTATATATACGCTTTGTAGCATTTCCGCCTCTCCCAAAATGGACTGCAAAGCAGTAACATGGCAGGCCTTTCGTGGGTTGGGTGACACATCTACTTGTCTGTTTCAACCAAGTAACATAACTCTTTTACAAGTTCAAAAACATGACATTTCAAAGCAAAATGGACCGCAAAGTAGTAACGTGGCAGGCATTTTGTGGGTTGGGTGACACATCTGGCAAGCGTGTATCATGTGGATCCATGAATTTAACATGGAAACTAAGAGATCCAAGGGCAGTGAAAGGTCTTTTTGCGTGCTTTGCCTTCTTGCAACGCTGAGTGTGTATGATTTGCCCAGTGCCATTCAAATGGATCTTCATGGCTGAATGCGGATTTGCACCCTGGTCCCCCAGATCAAAACTATCGAAATGTATTCAAGGGCTTGGAAAACTGCATTTTATAGCAAAAGTATGTACATCCGCAATGTGGGTCCCCCTGCCCCCAATTTCCCATAAAATTTGCTCAAATGATTTTGATAGCTTTTGGAAACAAACCCAAGGAATAGTTGGTGAATTTCATGTGGGCTTACTGAGGATAACTTGGCTGCTTCCATGTTGCCCTTTGACTACATGGGGCGATGTGTACACCAAAAGGGTGCCTTATGTGTGAGTGCACACTCTCTTACATACACACATATGTACACACACACTCATCTCCTCTGTGGCCCGGCTTTGCTTCATTTTCCGCTCCAAAGATACTCAACTCACCACCAAAGTAAAAGAATCGGCAAGCAAGCTTTAATCATTCATCTTTACAAAGACACCTTTTTCTCTCTTTTTTTAAAAAAGGAGTTCACCCTCATTTCCACTCCTCCCTTTCTTAAAGGTAGATTTTCTTGGTTTCTGTTTTCATTATCTCTTGGTTTTTTGTTTTTGTGTTTTTTACAATCATGGAAATCAAATCAAATGACCCCAGGATTTTTTTCAATGTATATAAATCGGTCATCTAGTGTTCCTAGAGAAAGGAAAGCCAAGGCTTAAAAGAGGGAATGGGAGAATCAAAAGRGGGAGGTGTTTGGTCCCCTTTCCYAAAGGCCCGGCCTCAGRGCGGCACCTGTCCCCTKCTMTTCCTGGTCTYTCCACCTTTCTTCTCCTGTCTTTCAAAAGTGCTGTGGGGTCCCRWAAACYGCCTGGCCRGGCAATTGGGGGGCCAGGAGMGGCCTTTCCTTGTGCTCTGAGCCCCTTATGGGGKACTGAAGGCCTGGCCTTTCTCCATTGGGTGGCAAGCAGAACRGGACYCATACCTGGGTGCCAGGTGACTCARRTGTGGGATCTGTAGCATCAGGCACACTTGGTTCAAGGAGAGCAACGCTGCYGAGAGGAGGAGTGTGAAGGCTGCTCTTTGGGAGCCATTAACTRAGGYCAAGATCCAACCATCACTGACATAAAGGGAAGAAGCTGGCAGCAAGAGCTGGGGCAGTATAAAGTGAGGCTTRTGGGTCAAAGGGCCCTGGCTTCTACCAAATGAGGCCACCGGGCCACCATTTCACCAGGATGGATCTCTAAAAAGATCAGGACCTTTTCCAAATGCTAATTTTAGAGACACCAAGGATTTGATGTATTTCCTGACTTCCTGTTGCTTATCAAACTGCTCTGCAAAAGATTTCACTGAGCAAAAGGTGCGGAGATTTAATGGAGCCCCCGGTAGCACAGTGGGTTAAACCCTTGTGCCAGCAGGACTGCTGACCGATAGGTCAGTGGTTCAAATCCGGAGAGAGCAGGTTGAGCTCACTCTCACCTCTACCTCCCCATACGGGGACATGAGAAGCCTCCACAAGGATGGTAAAAAAATCTAAACATTTGGGTGTCCCCTGGCCAACGTCCTTGCAGATGGCCAATTCTCTCACACCAGAAGCAACTTGCAGTTTCTCAAGTTGCTCCTGACATGAAAAAATGGCATTCCTCTCCCATACAGTCGGCAACGGCAGACGTGGCCCCAGAGAGACAGCTTTAATGCTCAGCCCCACAGATGAACACAATGTGGCTGACGGGACTCCCAAGTTCTCATCCACAAAACCAACACATTATAATGCTCTGTTGATCTAAAGCCAAAGCTGCCAAGAGTCAACTCTCATTGGTTAACTGAACCCAGCCTTGGTTTGGTTTGTCTTGCTTTGGCCTGTTCCTTCCAGGCCTTGTAATTTTTGACAGAGATTTCAGCACAAACAGAACTCACCTGGACCCCAAGAGGAGTCCAGGTGAGGAGGCCCAGCACAGGAGACCCTTGTTGGAAATGGTTTTTCCCAACATTAATACTCTTTGCCGCCAGTGGGCCTAAACACCACCAGCAACCCACTACTTCCATCAAGAGAGAGGTCATGCCATAAAGGTCAATGTGGGACATCCAACTGTGTATATACTATAAACTTTGTATGCTTCCATATAGTATATTTACACTCTATACCAGTGGTTCTGTTTCCCAGCTAGTTAGGATTTCTGGGAGTCCAAAACATCTGGGGACCCACACGTTGAGAACCTCTGCTCTATACCATTATATATACGCTTTGTATCATTTCCGCCTCTCCCAAAATGGACCGCAAAGCAGTGCCGGCACACTCCTTCCAAATCACTTGGTTTCACCAGCCGGTTTAACTCTACGTGAAATCCCAAAATCCCCAAATAAAATGCAACTTCAGGTGTTAGCAATCACACGACGCCTGTCATTTGGGATCTTTAAAAGGCCAAAGCTCTTTTTTGTGGAATCCGCATTTAAAAAATTGCACTGAACGCACCGTTTTTCAGCTCTTCTCCCAAATCAGGGCAAGGATCTCAACACCTGGGGCCTCTTGGGGCAAAGGGCAGAGGTGTGCTATAACTTTACTGTGGCAGTGAAAAGCCAGGTTTGGGCACATTGTAGGTTCTAGGGTGCTCTAACTGCCCCTTTGCCAGGCTGAGACAATCGCATTTTCTAAGGCACCTGCTGACTTACGTGTTAGACCCTGTCATACCTTGCATTGCCAGGCATGCCTCCCTTTCGGAAGGCACCTTCTAAAGGTTTCCTCTTGCTCTCCTGAGAAAAAAGGAAGCCTTTCAAAGAGACCATTCCAGGCACAGAGGAAATGAATGGGGCAGGACAATAAGAGAAATAATAGGTGAGGAACAATCCCATATCCTTTTGCCACCCTGATCCCGTTTCCCGCCCCTGCTAGGCCCCAGTTTGTGCTCTGCGAAAATCTCACTGGGTCTGCAAAGTAAGAAAAATAAAGAGCCAAGTTTTGCTCCCCAAATCATCCACTTTCCCCAGAGGAGCCCATGTGATATATATATATATACATATATATGCCACAGCTTTGTCCTCTAGTATTCCCCTTCCATTCAAGTGCAAAAGGTCCACAGGATGTCTGTCAGCAGAGAAAGAATTGAGGCCTTGTCCAGATTTGGGAAGAAACAGTCTCGTTTTGTCCCCGCCTTGGTTTTTGGAGAAAGTGCTTCTGTTTTGTTCCAGCGCCAGGCAAGTCTCCCATCCTCACCGCCAACAATGCAATCCACAAAGAAGAAGAAAGAAAAAGAAGAAGCCAAGGGTTCAGCCTTTGAAAAACACACCAAGCTGATTCAACTTTGCCCGTGTCTCTTCTGCCGAGAGGTTGGCTGTCGCGTTCCTCCTTGTTGTAACTTCAGAAAGCCTTTTCCTTCTGCACCAAACAGCCTCCGGTGGGAAAAAGAAAACACTAGCAAATCCAGCGAAGAGAAGGCTGCTCAGGAAAGAAAGAACTGGAGGCAGCCGCAAGGAGAAAGGCGTTGTGCTACTTGGTCTTCTGGTGTGAGAAAAGCGAAACCAACACGATTTTTGCATAAATATCAAGGCCATCAGAGGCTAAGGCTGTTTCTGTTTTCTTTCCTTCCTTGTCCCCAAGTCCTGGCCTGCTCAGGTCCCTGAGATATTGTGTGTTTGTCTTACGCTCCTCTGCAAGGAGGGCACTCGTACCTATGGGTCCTCTTTCACGCCATCTCCTGCCGTGGGTCTGCAAGAAGAAGAGGAGGGTCAGCAAAGAGGATCTAAAATGCAAAGAGCTGGGTTCAGTTTCTGCCCGGCTGAAGAGCCCTATGACCTATCCTTGACCTCGGTTTCTCAACTGTAAAATGGGCTTCACAGTCAAATTCACCAAAACTGTTGGAACTTAGTTGGAGAGATCCAAGAAAAGTTTAGATGTGGATACATGTTTTTTTAATGCTCTTTCCATAGCTTTGTGCTCTTACTGTTAATTGCTCATTAACATTAGGAAGAACTTCCTAACTGCTAGAGCTGTTCAGCAGGGGAACTTTCTGCCACAGAGTGTGGTGGAGGCTCCTTGGGCCATCTGCCGGGGGTACTTTGAATGTGATTTTCCTGCTTCTTGGCAGGCGGTTGGAATGGTTGGCCCATGAGGTCTCTTCCAACTTAAGGATTATATGATTGTATGATTCACAATGTGCTTTCCCCTTCCAGAAAGCATACTTGTTTATTTTATTTGCATGTCTAATTGCTAGGGTGTTTAAAAAAAGTGCTTAGCAAAACTCCAGTGCATTAGCAAGTGCTTTGCAACCAACCCTTTATTGCTTTCTCTTCCAAGTAGTTTTGCCAGAGTAATCGGATGTTATGCATTGAACTGCATTATAAGAGTCTACAATGACAATGTAACAGTTTCAAACTGCTTTATATGGCAGTACAGGTGGGGCCAAAGTAACAAGAAGATTTGGGATTTAGATCCACAGCTCTGGGGGTTTTTTTCTGCCTAAACATGCTGGCTTGTTACAAAGAGCTGGGTCATTTTAGTTATGGCGTTATCTTTGTATTTCTCTGTAGTTTTACAGTATTATTATTCCAAGCACCAACATATAAGAGTGCCTACCATTCAAGCATGTCTCCTGTCAAAACAAGACATGGAGGGAGTGTATTTGTTTGGAAACCTCCAAGAAGTGCTTACCAACTTTAAAACAAGGTATTCTCTTCCTCAGAAATGGAAGAAGATGCAAACTTTGATTCACTCCCCCCCCCCCCCATGTTTTGAGGCTTCGGACTGCCGGATGCAGTCCAGATGGGTAGACCCAATCCCACCCCCACATCCCACGGCCGTACCTTGTACTGGGGGACTCTGCAGCGGGGCTCCTGGCACTGTGGAGGGGGCGGCTCCATTAGCCCCCGCCATGACCGCTTGGCTACCAGACCCGCTGTTCTTAGTCCTCTCCCCAAACACCGCCAGTGGGGAGCTCAGCTCCTCGGCTCCTGTTGACCTTGGGCTCCTGGGGGGCTGCAAGTGGCCCGGTCCAAGCAAAGGCTTCTTGGCGATGGGAGGGGGCACCTTCTGGACTTTCTCGCCTGTAGCCTTCCCAGAGGCCTGGTGATGAAGCCCTGGGGCTGCCACGGACCGCTGGCCAGAGACGGTCATCAATTCGGCTACCAGATTCTTCTGCAAGTTGGCCTGGGCTTCCGGAGAAGACGAGCTCTCGATCACTAGTTTCTTGGGGCTCCTTGCAAAGATAAAGCTGGCCGTAGATGCCGGGGATTTGTGTAGCGGGGATGCTGGGCTATCCTTCACCTCGCCGGCTGCAGAGAGAGTCGAAGTGGGAAACGCAGGCAATGTCATCCGATTCCCAGCCTTCCTCTCCACCGCCGCTCCAAGGCCTGGCGTGTCTCTAGAAGACAAGGTGGAGGCCTTCAAGCGCACTGCGTTGTGCATAGGGTTTGAGGAGGCCGCTTCTTTAGACGCAGACGGGTGGCCCCTCAAGGAGAGAGACTTCCGGATAGGTTTCTGGGGGGCAGTGGGCTGCTGTGGCCCTGTTTTGCCATTGATCCCCACGCTCGGGCCATTCTGCTCAGCTAACGGTTTGCCTATTGTCGGGACAGCTGCCGGACCATGGGCATCCATGTTGACTGAGCGCAAGCGCACCATCTGCAGCAGGGAGGGTGTGACAATGGGCAGATTAGCATCTTCCTTTGGCACAGAGCTGCTCTTGCTCCGAGCAGCCGGCTCCTTCTTGAAATCAGGGTGGAGGCCATTGGCCGGCTTCTTGAGGTTTGACGGAGCTTGGAAGGTAGTGGGTGAGGGCACAGATGATGATGACACTGTGGCCGGAGGCTTGTGGTGGTTTTTCTGGGCAGTGGGCAATTCCGCCATCGCTGCTGGGAGCTTGGGAGGTGGAGGGGGCTCTGGCGTAGGAGCTGGCAGTGGCGAGTCGCCTGGGACTCCTTGCTGTTGGCTCTTTGAGGACGCCATGGTGGAGGAGGAGGAAGGCAGAGAGGTGGGCGCGTCCTCCCCTGCAGACACGGCTCTTTGGTTGGTTGGTGGGACTCCAAGGGGTGGCCCATCAGTACCATTGGTGGAAGGCATTTCCTTGGCCGTTGCCACTGGCTGTGATTCTGGTGATAGCAGCAAAAAATACTCTTCATCCGGGGGAGGAAAGTCGGCCATTGAGAGATCCTGTTCCTCTGGTACTGGAGGCGGCGGAGGGGGCCACAGGGAATCCGGAGGAGCATCTGCAACAACCTCCAAAGGATTGGGAACAGCAGTAGCAAGAGCAGCAGGGGTTTCCAAACTTGACTCGGGCTTCTTTGCAGGGGGTGGTGGCGGGTGGTAGGCAGGAGGAGGTGACGGAGGAGGAGAGCCATTTCTGGGTTTCTGCATGTTGGTGATTGCCACATTGTCAGTTTTTGGCTCAGCTGGTTGGACCTTGGTGGGTGGAAGGCAGGTGGGAGCTGGGACCTTGGGGTGAGGAGGAATGATGAAACGCTCTGCTTTGTTCAACATGGTGCCATCAGTGACGACAGCCGACAGCGGGACTGTCGCCGGATCCGAGGTGGAAGAGGACAAGGAGGTCAATGAGGAGGAGACGGAGAGTCCCGCTGTTGGGGACTGGAGAGAGCAAACCCGTTCCGGCTTCTTTGGTTGTGGCCGCTTCTTCCCCGGCGAGGAGGCCTGGCCCAGGGGACTCTTGGCATGGAGGGTGGGCGTCCCACTCTGGCTGGAGTAGCCACTGGAGGGAGACATTGTGCGGCCAAAGCGGTCAGGAGAGCTGTTCTTGGAAGGGAGCCCCTGGTGTTCAGCCGCCCTCAGCTCCTCCGCCTCACGGAGTTTGTCCACAGTGATGGGGCTTCGGTGGGAGATGTCTGGAGAACAGGCCAAGCTGCTGCTCTCGCTCGGGCAAGATGGGGAGAAGACCTCATCCTCACCCGTCAAACTGAGGCTCACTTGCTGCCCCACGACCCACACCTCACTATTGTTGTTATGAGCTGGACGGCGGTCTGGCTTTGGAGGCAACCCCATGGCTCTGGGTGCCCCTTCGGCCTCCAACTGCTGAGCCTTTTGGTGCAAAGAGTAGGTTCGGCGGGGGGGAGCAGGCGCTCTCTTCATCTTCCGGAGGGAGACGCTGCGGGTCGAGGAGCGGTCGCTCCGCAGGCTCACGCTGTCCGAACTGTCCGCTACGCTGCCGGTGCTGTATGCTGGAGAAGCCCGCCCACTGCTGCCACCACCACTTCCGCCCGGAAGCCGTGTCACTCCCAAAAGGCTGGGAGAAGCAGGGATGGCACCAACCCTGGAGCCAGTGCCGCTGACAGAGCTGTAGGTGCTGAGCTGGTCCGGTTCATGCTGCCTGGAGGCCTGGCTGTTAGGCCCTGAGTCGCTGTTGTCCTTCTTCCCACCATGGGAGGAGATGGTGGAAGTGTTGGAGACGATGGTCTCAGTTGACTGGGAATGGCTCCAGTTGTCACTGGAGGAGGAGTGCTCCCGGCTGCGGGGCAACGGGGGGAAAAGGCCCACAGAGCGCACTGATGGGGCTGGGCTGGCCGTAGAGAGACTGCAGCGGCTGAGAGTGCGCACCCGGTTGCGGGAGAGCGCAATGACGTCCACCATGGGAGGCATGACGGCATTGGGGATGATCTTGGATAGGTAGGTGCCCTGCGGGGAGATGGACATGACTGGGCCCAGGAGCTCCGGAGAGCCCGGCTGTGTAGTCATCCAGGGAACGGCCAGCGATTTGGGCCTCATCACCAGTGGGGAGAGCTTGGCCTCCGTTTTGCGGCCCAGAAGTGAGTCGTCATAATAGACGCGGTCAATGTGGCGCTGTAGGGCAGACTCCGCTGCAGATAATGTCGCCGTTGGTGCCATCGCTGCTGTCTTTACCTCAAGGGCCTGGAGGGAGACGCGGGCACCGCCTGTGGGGACAGCGGCCGGCTGGAGCTTGCCATCGATGGTGGGGATGAGGATGGTGTTGCCAGCCACCTGGCCACCGTTTGCCAGGGGCTGCGGACTGGGGGTGGATCTGACTGCGATGCTGCCCGGGCGTTTCTTTGGATCGTAGCCATTGCTCAGGCCTGGCGGAGAGACATAAAAGTGAGGTAACGTGATCCACCTGAATACAACATATTAGAAAGCGGGAGGAGGGTGGGAGGATTTGAATGCAGAACATACCAGTCCCAGAAGTGCACTCAAGTCAGAGGGATGTTTCGGGGGATTGGTTAGCCCTTGGGGTCCCTTCCAATGTCCCAATTCCACTGACTCGCACAGTTACGGCTAAACCAGGGATGGGCTAAATGCAACGCACCAGATATTTTTGGACTGCAGTCCTCCCTGTGTTCCTGACTAAAGGCTATACTGGCCAGGGCTAGGATGAGATGTAGTCCAACATCATCTAGACAACAGGATTTTCCACTCACTGGGTGAACCATACATTTTGCAAAAAAGAGACAAGCAAAAGCACCGTATCTCTTCAATTAAGAGTGTTTGCATCCAGATGTCTGGCCCAGGACAAGGCTGCCTCTTAAAATGTTTCCTGGCTCTCAAACCTCAGTCTGACTCCAATGTCCACAAATCCCTTTCCCAGACCCCTCTAGAAAGTCAATCGTTTGCCAGAAAAGCAATCTCCCCAACCAGAATTGAATGCACAAAGAAGTTTAGATTGATACGTTGAATTTCCATCTGTTTCCCTGGTTGCATTGAGGAGAGGCCAATTCCCATGTCCGATGGAGTAGTGAGTCCACTCCAGGTTTTAGTCCCAACATTAGCCTATTGCGAGAACAGGTTTTGGTACCGTGTGTCCCTCCTTTCAGCTCTGGACTAAAAATCCAGAGTGGATTCATCATCCCAGTTACATCCTAACACATTTTCCAGGTCCACTGTTCCCATTTTGTACTTTGCGGGAAGGTGTTTATTCAATTGGTTTATTCAGATGCCTCCCAGCGACACCTCCACCCTTATCCTAAGAGAGACTCACCAAGTTCCTTCTGCACATGATGGGGTAGCCCCAGGACTGTGGTCCTCCTCTCTCTCCTCCTCTTCTCTCCCTTCCCAGATTTCGGAAACGAATCATGCGGCCGGAAAGTAGAACCT